AGAAGGGGTTCATCTGTGGGGAGTCAGGGTTCCTCTGTGGGGAGTCGGGGTTCCTCTGTGGGGAGTCGGGGTTCCTCTGATGGAGTCTGGTGACTTCCTCACTTTTGTGTTTGTGTCTGTAGGTTTCTGACCATGGATCAGACCAGGAAGCTGCTCCTGCTGCTGGAGTCCGACCCTAAAGCCTCCAACCTGCCGCTGGTCGGACTGTGAGTGTCTCATTATCTCTCACCAGTTGTTCTCGTTGTTCACCTGAGATGTTTGTTCAGTTCTATTTTATCTTTACAAAACACTGATGTTGAAGCTTAATGGCTAACTGTACTTCCTGTCATGTGACAGCTGGCTGAGTGGAGTCAGACACATCTCCAACCCTCAGGTGTGGGCCTGGTGTGTGAGGTTCCTGTATAGCTCCGCCCTCCAGGACAGGTGAGTCTTACCTGTCCGGCCCATTAGGTGTTTGTTGTTGAGGAGTCCCTGAGTGTTCCTCTTCTGTTTCAGAGTTCTGTCAGAGAGCCGCTGTTTCCTCCTCGTCCTGTTCGCCTCCACCCACAGAGCTCCTCAGTTCTTCCAGTGTCGAGGACCAGGACCTGGACCGGGACCAGCGCCACAGCTAGACTACCAGCTACTGACCGCCTCCCAGTGTGTCACACTGTACCAGGTAACAGCACACCTGTCACCACAGAGACTGTAATGATAGTAATTGATGAAGGGGATGAATGTGGACCCATTTGGACCTTCAGCAGGTGGTCTCGGTGGAGGGTCGGACTCTGCGGTGTGAGCTGGGTTCAGAGGATCACAGCAGACAGACGGAGGTCTTCAGAGAGGCCCAGACCTCCTTCAACAGGTACCAGAATCTCAGGAGTAGAGCAGGTCGTTCTTTAAGTACAAGGTGGACGGTTTGATCCTGAACCGGTTTACAGCCAATCAGAGAGGTTTGTTCTGTCCTCAGAGCTGCCCCCCCCACTGCCCGTCTGTCTGCCAGCGATCAGGACTCTGGGGTCGAGGACGAAGACTTGTCTCCACGTCCGACTCCGAGCCCGCACCCCCCTGCTCAGCAGGTCAGTAGTTGACCTGTGACATCACCGTGATGTCACCACAGACGGCCAATAGCAGCAGGACGGTTGAGTTCAGGTGTGTTTTCTGTTGTCAGGCTCGGAGAGTTCAGCCGTCTGTTCCTGAACTTTCTCTGCTGATTGACAGCAGCTTCATTTCCAATCAGAATGCTCGGCAGGGTCCTGGCTCCGCCCACAGAGACCCTGCTGTTCCTCCCACCAGAAACACCACCACCTCCTCCTCTGCTCCCAGACCTGCTGCTCCTCCTCACCTCCACAGCACCCCAAACTCCAACCTGCAGGAGCCCTGTTCCTGCTGCTCCACCCACACCTATGACTGCACCTCCATCTTCTCCTCCTCAGGACTTCACCCTCTTCCTCCATCCTCCCACCACCTCCACCCTCCTCCTCCCTCCAATCTTCACCCTGCTCCTCTTACTCCATCCTCCCTCCACACTCCTCCTCTCTCCAGTCTTCACCCTGCTCCTCCAACTACTCCCTCTGTTCCTCCTTCCTCCATTCTTGCTACTCCTCTGTCCTCCCGTCACCATACTCCATCTCCCTTCTGCACCCACCCTCCTCACAGCTCTCGTCCTCCTCCCTCCCACCTCCTCCCACCTCCTCCCTGTACCTGTAGCCACCCTCCTCCTGCCCCATGCTGTGATCAGGTGGGGGGGGTCGTCCCGTCTGAGACCTACCAGCTCCTCCTCCATCAGGACCGACAGCTTCGCCTCCTGCAGGCGCAGGTAAGATCTGTTCTTCAGGTGAGTGTGAGGTTGTCATGGTAACAGTGTTGAGTGAACGATGAACGACTGTCTTCAGGTGCAGATGCTGCTGGAGGCTCAGGGGAGACTTCAGTCCTCAGGTGGGCAGGTGGAGGCTCAGACACCCAGGAGCACCGCCAGCATCGCTGTAGGGACAGGTGAGACCGACTGTGAAGGTGAGCAGCTGGACACAGGTGTCGGTTCAGCATCACACGTCTCACTCTCTGTTTTTCAGGAGCCAGTCTGTTCTGGGGGAATCCCGTCCAGTCGTCCCTCCCTCATCAGAAGGTACAGGCTCCTCCCACCTCCTCCTCCTCACACGCCGACCTGTCCGTCATCGGGTCTGTGGGTGGAGATGAGGACAGTGAGGCTGCCTGCTCCTCCTCCAGTCGGCACAGGTGAGACGGATGGAGACAGTCGGGGGTATTAGTTAGCATGTCTTTGTCAATAGAGACCTGGACTCTGACTCGTGGTGTGTTCAGGTGCAGTGTCAGCGGTCTGGAGAGTCCAGTTCTGGGAGAGAGTGTCAGCATGTACCGACCAGACGGAGAGCAGCTGAGCTTCTATCGCACCCTGAAGGTAAAAACAACGTCACACAATGCTAACAGGTCACATGATGCTAACTAGGTATTTATTATGTGTCTGGTCACATGATGCTAACTGTAGGTATTTGTTATGTGTCTGGTCACATGATGCTAACTGTAGATATTTATTATGTGTCTGGTCACATGATGCTAACTAGGTATTTATTATGTGTCTGGTCACATGATGCTAACTAGGTATTTATTATGTGTCTGGTCACATGATGCTAACTGTAGGTATTT